TTAAGAAAGAGAGAAGAGAAAGTGATGGAGGAGACAAAAATCTTCTTGGTCTTTTAACTCATAATAATTAATGAGAAAACCTTATTCTTAGGAGACTTATTATTATTTTTATGTATTCCATAATGTACTGTCATCATTAAGCCTTCAAATGGGTTTATAAAATTCAAGTATGGCATTAATTAGGTTAGGATTTATCTGAATCAATGTAAGCCATGTCAAGTTGTCAAGTACATCTTAAACTTACTTCATCTCAGGCCCCAATTTTTTTTTTCAATTTTAAAAATAATTGAGTTAAATTTTGTGTAATTTAATCATTTGATTATTATTTCTATTGATTTTTTATTAAAAAAAAACGAGGCTAAATAATATCATTTGACGATTAAAAATATATATAATTTTTTTTGCTAACAAAATAAAATAATGAAATAATTAATTAGAATTGAAATCATTCACCAATAGTTGGCTTAAATGGTAAAAAGAATATGCTTCTCTTTTTATTATTTGAGTTCAAAAACATTAAAAAATTATGAAAAAATAAATTTTATCAAATTCGTTAAACTTGACTTAAATAAATTTACTTGAATTAAATACAAAAATGATGTATTAAATAAAATTTAGAAACCTTTCACCGTTAAATATAAAAAATTAAAATTCACTATTTTACATAAAAGAGTAAAACGTATTCAATCAATTCTACATAAAATTAAAAAAAAAAAAAAAAAACCCATGTGGCCATCTTTCAATAGACAAATAAAGATACAAATTCAGGAGATGTGTGAATAAAGAATGATATATATGTAGAGACTTAATCTCAAACTTGTGAGATGTCTTTTATAAGACAAACCCTAAAATTTTCGGATCAAAGCAGATAATACCTCGTAAGTTGGGTGCGGATCTCTACAAATGGTATCAGAGCGGTCACCAGTCCGCAGTCGTGAGAGTCACTAAGTGTTATACGATGATCTAGTGTGATCTTAGTCCTGTGGATAAATTGGACTTGACAGGAACATCAAGCATTAAAGGTGAAGAGATTGTAACGCTCCCAATCCCACATTAGAAGGATGTGTGGATAAGGAATGATATATATTTAGAGACTTAATCTCAAACTTATGAGATACCTTTTGTAGGATAAAATCGTGAAACCTTAGGATCAAAGCGGACAATATCTCACAAATTAAGTACGGATCTCTACAGATACAAATTCCAAAATATTATCACGCCAAGATGTTTCATTTCATCTCCAAGAAAGACAACCTAGCATGCTAATGCCAATGTTCCCACTTGCTTTAGGAGCTTCTATGTTTTCTTTTTCTTTCACTAAATGTTATTTTAAAAGATTAGAAAAATATTATTAGTATTTGATAAAAATTATCTTTAAAAATAAAATTAATGCATTAATTTTTGTTAAAATATTGTATTAATTGTAAAATTCTTTCTTAAAATAGTATTTAACTAACTTTAACATGTGAGTATAAACACTCCTTAATTCGATCTTACAAAATTTCACTAAAATTATTACTAAAAAATGACACTTTTTTTTCTAATTTATTTAAAATAAATGTAACAATTAAACGAATCTAAATTAAAGTCAAATTTGAATAAAGTCTTTTCAAATAAAAAAAATTCTAGCTATTTCAAGTTCAAAGTTATTGTAAATTTGAATAATTTTACAGTTGGGTTTCATATTAAGTTATTCAATTCGGATTTTTGCAAATCCAAATTATTAATTAAATTTAAAGTGAAATTAATTTAATTTTGAATTATTTAAAATTATTCATTTGAATTGTTCACAAGATGTTTTAAATTCGAATTAAATGATTTGTAATATTGACCTTTGTAAGTCAAATCAGATTGAATGATTTAGAATTTGAATAAAAATTTTTTTGAATTTAGATGAACTTTGTTAACTAATTAAAAGTCATTAAACCGTTAATTAATTATTGCAATTTAGAATCAAATATTCTAATATGAAAATTTTAGATTTCAAATCTTTGAAAGTGAACATAATATTTATGAATGAAAGAGTTATTTTTTTATGTATAACTCAACATCAAATATAAAGTATAATAATAATAATAATTTTTTTTATTTACACCTCAGTAAATTCTCTTAGAACACTGATTAACAATTTTTTCTTAAAACAGAAACTCAACAACCAACCTGGTAAAAACTAGAAAAAAAAAAAAGTATTATATTTACAAACAAACTATCAACATCAGTTAAAAATTTTCGCATACTACTCCCTGAACCCGAATGTCATGGATCTCTAACAAGATGCAATTTCAAAAAAAAATTTTAATTTAAAAAATCATAATTTTAAAATAAAATAATTATAAATTAAAATTTAAACTCTACATACGAAGAATGACACCTGTTACGATGCAGCTTTTCCTCTCCCAAAAACTATTTTATGGCCTACTACTACCACCCTACGTTGTGGTCCTCAATTGGGAAAATGAACATATTCTTTTTCGGCCGATTCAACAGTTTTGGCTCTTTTCACGTCTCTTTATTTCTTCTATTAAAAAAATTAAAATTGAAAAGAAACAATTATCTATTTCTCTAATGTTGACATTGACAATAAATGTTGAATTCATTCATTTCGTCTGATTTTATTTGTTTTTATTAATTTTTTAATCAAAATTTTAATTTTATTCATTATTTTTAATAAATCATAAAATTAAAAATTAAATTTGTAAAATTTGAGTTTCAAAAATTTTAAAACATATATATTTTAAAATTTTAATTTAACATAATATTTTAAATAATAATAATCAAAATTAAATTCTTGATAAAAAAAATTCATACCCAAACATGCAAAATAAGACTAATGATTTTTTTTTTTTGGGTATTTAAATAAAGCTTGAGGATAAAGATTTACTCTTTAAGATAATATTTAATATAAGATGATCACTTTAAAAATTATGATAATTTATATATGGTGATTAAATTATTTTATTTAATAACCACTTGATAATTTTATATGGTAAAGGTCTTGGATCAACGACAGTAATCAAATCATTGCTTCAAAATGTTATATAATTCTATACTAAAATATGAGAAAATTTTATTATTAAAATAAACTAATATATAAAATTAACAATAATCAATTTTATTTATTTAATATGTAAATTAAAAACTTACTTCATCTTAAAATTTATTATTTTATATTATAAATTTTTATATTTTCAAACTTATATTCATTATAACAAATTCAAAATAATTTGTGTATTTATTTTAATTTTTTAATATTTTATATATAATATAAATTTTTATTTTTCTTTCATTATAAATTTAATAGATTGGTTTTATATTATATTTTCGTCCCCATCATTTTGTGTCCTGTATTTAATACCAAGGCTCGATTTTAATCAAATGTTGGTCTATATATTCAGCTCACCACGAGCGTATAATTATAGGCGTGGATTCATTTTTCAAATTAAAATTAAAATGCCACTAGTAATTGAGTAATAAACACGAACTGTTGAGGTACCCACGATCTAGGGATAAGAAGTTGAAAATTCAGAATTTAGCTTTTCCAATCACATTATATTACAAAAGCCAAAAGAATTAAATATTCAAAACTCATTTATATACTTAAAATTTAACTCAATTAAATTATATAATTATTTTTAAAATGTAATATTTAATAAGTTTAAGTTTGAAATTTAACATCTATAAAGACGAAAAGGAAAAAGCCGTATAATAATTTTACTAAAAAAGAGGGGATCAAGTGTTATTTTTGGTGGATGAGATATCCTATTATTCCAACGGAGGAAACGAAATTTTGGGAGATCATTGCCTCTATCTACCTCATAATTACATCTTTAAACCTCTGTAATTCTTTCTCTGCGACCTCTAAATTTATTTCTCCTATCTCAATATGATTTTACCCAAGTGACATCTGACATTCATGTTTTAGATATTAATCTCTATTCCAAGGTATGTTTCATCAAAATAGATGGGAATAAACCTAACGCTCACCACAAAAGAAAAATCAATGGCAATTGGCGAGCTGTTGGTTGAACTGATGATCCCAAACCATTGGACCCCCTTTTTTTTTTTTTTGTGATCTCATGCCAAAATCAAGCCTAAACCCACAAAGCCCCCAAGCCTCCAACCAGAGAGCAACCTGTGGATACCTCTTGCCAGTTATCTGGAGTCATGAGTCATGACCTTGACCTTGAAAGTTTTATCAAATTGAAACACTAAACAAAAAAAAAAAAAAGAAAGTCAGGATCACAAGCCTAGCCACAAAGTCCTAGTCTCAGATAGGATAGTTTGGTCATTCACTTGAAAGTTGAAGCCATAAAATCTTCATTGACAAGTAAAGTGAAAGTGACAATGAAATTTTGGAATCTTACAACCACCATTCCAACTTCAAATAGTTGCAAATTTTCACTTTATATTATTCATTTGCTTTGTTTCCCAAGACCAACAGAAAGGGGGCAAAGCAGAGCTATACAATAAAGATAAAGAAAACAAACCCATGCGACATCCATGGATGATGACAAAAGCTTTATAAAAATAAAAGACGTCATGTGAAGGTTAACTCGGAAAATATTCTCTATTTGTCTTGGGAGAAAGCCAATAATGCCACAATTTTCTGTCTGGAGTTTCAGATTTTGGCTGTTTCATAATTATATTAAGCTAACAATCGAAGGATCTTGCTGATCAAGCCATCAATGACTAACATTTTTTTTTAAAGAAAAGCCTCTGCTTAAGGATAAAAAATTATAAACATTGAAATTTAAATTTTAAATTTTAAATTTATTAATATCATCACTTATGATTGATTACATGAATCAACTAAATTAAGATCCGAACTTTAAAATCTAAGTTTTATTAGTAACTTAATAGCATTAAATATTCAGAAGAATATGGATCAACACAGATTAAGAAAGCTTAATAAATCAAATTATCAGATGAAGGCTTGACCTTTAGGTGATGGTATTCTGTAGACAATAACATACACTGAAATCTTGCACGGACTCATACAAAGTCAACTTCAAACCACAACTAATGCTACCTTCAGGAAAAAAATGCACAAGGTCTCTTAATTGGACGGCTTGACTTGGGAAAAAGCGGATGCTTGAAATTACTGCATGAATGTATAATAATGAAAGCCCTAGATTTTAACAGTTTTGACGCTACAAGCGACTTCATGGATTAGAAGGCAGATGAACTATCACTAGAAAATCCGTTAACAACACTTTTCAAGGTTCCTTTAGCTACAATGTCATCGACGAAGATGCTACCCGAATCACACCAAGTATATCCCTGTTAAGGACTCCAGCATCCATTAACATAAAAGACCAGTTAAATGACCTCCATTCAATAGCAGCACCAGCTAGAAACAGTTTAAATCAACGGGGACCTAGGTTGGCCTTTCTGAGATTACATCCAGGTTTGACATTTTCAAAGAAAGATGTCTGTGAATTCTATGCGTGAAAGCAGAGCATCACCAAAAGAACTAAACAAAATTATTGTAATTATTACTGCCAACAACCACGTGTGGATGAAAAGAAATGAATAGAAAAAATTATATTCATATTGTTACTAGGCGATGGAGGACATATTAAGCCCCAGAGAGTTCAGTTTTCAGCAGAAAACAGATAATAGATGGTCTTACTGCCATTCTCTACCCAAGATGAGCCTAGGCAGGCAATCAAGATAGAGTTGCAAACTCTTAGCGTTTGCTTTAATGAACTATCAAAATTCAATTTTTCCATTCACAACAACAAATAATTCCTTCAAACAATATCAGTACACCATAACCAAAATGAACATAAATTTCAACACGACCACTCAAAACCAATATAATCTAATCATAAGCTCAATCAAAGAAATAAATCACCTCCTTAAAAAAATAAAAAAAAAACCTGATTAAGCAGAAGCTTTTGTTCTCACTATAGTGTCGGCCACTTTCCTTCTATTCAAGGCAACATCGGAAGAGTCAAGAAGCCTAGACCTCCTAAACAATCTAACAATCTTCTTGACTTCCTCATCAGCACACTCATCTACAACTACCACACACAATCCAACTTTTCTGAGAGTCCTCTCCATCTCCCCTGCTGCATACCACATGGGTTACAAGGCCTCTGCCAAATGACCAGTAAATGCAAACATCAAAAGCCATATCAAAGGGAGGATTATGGCGATCGACACTGCTGACCAAAGGCAGGGACTCTTATCAGTTCAACACCTGTAACATCCTCAAGAACCATTTTGGATAGAGCCATAACCTGATTGCCAGCCCCAGCAGACACAAACGACTTTGGAGTGGTTCTTTAGGAAACCCATTTGGTACAGTTGGGTGAAGAATTGAGTAAAGGAAGAGAACTGGGTCATCAAAGATTCAGAGGATGAGAGGCAGGCATTCTTCTTGGGAAAGGGAGGTAGTGGCGAGGGGAAGAATGACAGGTGAATTTTGGGAATCAAGGGTGAGGCTTTGGGGAAGCATTGGGTGGGATACATGTTTCTGAGGTTTGGAGGAAGAGGAAGAAGAGAACAAGTGCTGCTACAGTAACACTTTATTTAGGAATCTCTGTATGAGTCTTTCTATTTTGGTTTTCTCTATGATTTGAGATTGGGGCAGTCACTTTCTCCATCAATGATGCAGTCTGAGCATCACAATAGAATCTGTTTATGAGAGAGCAAGAGAGGGCTTTTTTATGTCTCTGTGTTTTGCCTTTCCTCTCCTTCTGTTCACAAAATATTGTGCTTTGATATTATCGGTGAACGTATGAAGCACATGTTGCATTGAACCGGAAACAATATCTGTGAGTATCTTGTATTCTATAGCATTAGCAAACTGCAAGACAAGAAACAAAACATGGAAATACCATTAGACCAAATGTAAACTGCAAATATATTTCTCCAAAACAGAAAGTAGGTTTGAGCAATGTACTTTGGCTGACTTGGTTACGTACTACCCTTTAGGGAGGAGTTTCCTGCACCGGGGGTTTATCCCCATAGCCTCAGCAAAAAAAAGAAAAAAATAATAAGAAGATGCTCTCAGATCTCATAGCTTAGAATTGATCATATGTGGTATGAGGCCAATGACATTCATTAAAAGTCTTTATACACCAACCAACATCTTACACACACAACACACCACCTGTGGTAGATAAAGACTCTTGATGAATAATCCATGCAACGACAAAATAAAGTTAATTTGTCCATCATCAGGCAAAAAAGAGGTAAATACACTATACATGCATAATCCTAAACAATGCAAATAAAGTGATACATGAACTAAACAACCAATAAAATGTCATTAAAAATGGGTTCCAGAAGAGTCATGAGAAAGAGAAAGATGTTGATTCCATTCCATCATATAGGCCGGTAACAGGGCATTTCAGATATAATAATGAAGCAAGAAATAAACACTACAAAACCAAATTAAACGAGAAAACATATTGCTGATTTTTCATCCAGTAGCCACAAAAACCATTAAGATGTAATGAATAACAAGAAGATATTTTATCTAAATAACATTTTCTTTAAACTATGAACAATAACTGAAAACAGGACTCAAGCCTTGAAATATACATTACGAATAAAGGAATTAAGGTTCAAGTGTGCAACAATTGAGCAGCCATGGCTCAGGCCAGTGGCCTCTAGGCTATTGAAAGAGCATCTCAACATGGTCATGGTTATATCAAATACTGAAAAGCACAATATCTAGCTATTATCGTGAACAGTGGCAGTGCCACATGAGAGCCGGAGGGGGCCATGGCCCCCCAAGAATCTTGAAAGTTATTTACACATTCAGAGTTTATGTGAATTTTTTAAAAAAATATATCTTTCAAAATAAATAAATGTTACCTTAAAATTTAAACATTTTCAGTTAATTTTCATTTATAACTTTTTAACTTATTGAATCTTAAAAAAAAAATAAAAGTATCACAATTTTTTTCAAAGTTTTAACATTTAAACTTTGTTTTATTTAAAAATGAAAATTCTTTAAACAATGGGAAGGATCAATTTATCTTAATTGTAAAACTAAAAAATTTTATACTTTTTGAACCATTAATTTTAGTAAATCCTATGAATAAAAGAAAAAAGTGAAAAAGAAAATAAAAAGTTTAATCTTATCATTTAGATCTATTAAAATCAAATTAAAAAAAGTGTAAAACATTTTTGTGTAAGTTGATCCCTTCTCCATGATTAATAGCTTTCAAATTTAATATTTTTGTAAGTAGTGAAGTTTTTTTATATAAAATAATTTACTCTTTTTTTATAATGTCAATAAATAGGCCAAACACTTTTGATTTGGGATGAAGTAATTCAAATTATGCTCAATGAGGAATTATGCATTAATCACTAAATTAAATATTCGAGTGTAAACAAATTAAACACTTTAATAATAAAAGATAGAATAACAAAATATATAAATTTTTAAGTAAAATTCATGAAGTTCACAACTAAAAACGAGTTACACGAAGACTATGAATGAAAATAAAAATTAATACTCATACTATAATTTAAGAGCTTTGATTAGATTATTTACTTGAAAATTTTAAAACCTTTAAAATAACAATGTATTGATCTATTTATTAAATTTTATTAATCTAATCTATTTTAATCTTTAAATTTTTTTACATTATTTTCATTAGAAACTTTCAATATTTCATGAAAGGTTATTTCTAATTAATTTGTCTTGTAAAAAATACTTAACATTAATTGAAAAGTCGACTTAACTAGTCATTTTGAATTGATAAAAAAAATTTAATAACAAAGACAAATAACATGAATTAATAAAAATAGACTTCTAATTAAATATTTGCTTTCATTATAATTTAATTTTTAATTTTATATATAAAATATATTCCTACAAGTATGTAAATGATTATATACTTACGTATTTGGCCCCATCTTAATAAAAATCCTAGCTCTGCCACTGATCGTGAGGCCAAATTATAATTGAAAGCAGCATATTTAAACTCCTACAACCTGCAAATCATTCAATGAGAAACCTCAAAACATATGAACTTTCCATACACCTCTAAACTCCTACAACTTACAATGTTCTCAGAGCTCAAAACTGAGACTTATGACAATTCACTGATGGTGAATCAATAAGTTTTCACTGCCAACACAGTAATAAGGCCATATAACTTAATATTCCCAAAACAAAATAAAAAAAAAAAAAATTACATGAGTAAAATACATATCATAAACTAATTGGAGACATAAACTCATAGAGAAAAACAAAAGTAAGAATCAGTCAAGCCCGACTGCAAAAATTTAATATTCGTTAAACTATGTGTGTGAATGTTTGAAAGAGGAACTGCTCAATTTGTATTCTCTAATGCTTAATTAAAACTTCGATAAACAATGAACTAGTCATAAGTTGGAGTTGTATTTGGCACTAATGAATTCCATAATTCAAACATAACTCAAAATTTAAACACACATCATTTGCCCTTTGGACTAAGTTTGGCATCTAATTTATTGTCCTTTTTTTTTTTAACTAAAAACCACATCTAACCTTGAAACCCATAAAAGCGCAATTTATAAGAGCCCCATAGGGCTTAGGGCCAAACTCTTAGGGGAAATCGTAGTGACATACTTCATCACCTATCGATTGAAGGGGCGGATCTCTTTGATCTTCTTCGAGCCGAGGGAGAGAAATGACTGACTGTACTCTCTTCAAACACCCAAGCATACGTGAGTGATTGGGTTGCCTTCCAATAACCACCCCAACTATGACAAATTCATTGTGGAGCACATGAAATACTATTCCCTTTCAAAAATAAAATTACCGTATGCGAGTGCGTTAAATAGGGGAATTCCGAAATTAGAGGATGGTGATGCGAAACAAGTGGAGGCTTTAGAGTGTGAGAAATTGTCCTTCACTAAACTTTGTTAAGCAGGAGAACATTCACCAACACTGTTTGGTTATGGCGAGGATAAGAACCAGTAGGCCACAATCCAAGAGGTGTTGGATCATAGAGCCTCAACTCCTACATCCAAGGGAAAAAAAAACCTTCGTGGAGGCAAGAAAAGTAACTTGTGTGTTTGTTTGAATGTTTATTGATGTGCATTAACAGTGTCTGATCACTTGTTTATTTGCTGAGCTTCAATGTCGGGCAATGTACTTACATTGCACTAGTGGATTGTGGGTCTGTTTGCTTGATGACAAGTGCTTACATTGCACTAGTGTATTGCAGGGAAGAGTGGAGGGAAGTTGTTGTCAATGAGGTGTAATCGATCGTGTTTGAGTCGATACAATATTAAGCTTAAGCTCGAGCTCAATTCAAAATTCAAGGCTCGAAACTCGGCTCAAACTTGATCGAGTTTTATTTTTCTAGCTCGAAGTCGACTCAAGATAAAAATCGAGCTACTCAAACTCACTTAATTAGTCTCGATTAACATGTAAAAATAAACTCAATTCTTATAGTAGACAAAAACTCGATTATTTGTGCTCGAGCTCGAGTTCAAAATATTTTATTAATTAAAATAATAAAAACATATTTAAACATAAAAGCTTGATTAGGCTAGCGAAATACTCGAACTGGGTAAAAAAATACTCGAACTCGACTCTATCAATGAGTTAAACTACTCAAGCTCAAGCTCGACTCGATAATAATTAAGTCGAATTCGAATTTTATTCGAATCGAACTCGAGTAGCTTACGAGTACTAATGTATCATTTACACCACTATATATCAAGCCTATGGGATCTAGTGTCCGCAAAGAGGCCAACGTGCCCAAGGCTACTGGCACGCATATTTCAACTTTGACAAGATCGTGTATGGTTTGCAATAACGATATTCACCAATTGCTTCTCACACACAACCAAAGATATACATACATGCTTACAATATGCATTCACACAACATGTGCATGTATAGAGAGAAGAGAGAGAACGAAGGTGTTGCATAAAAGCTATAGATGAATCAAAAACCATAACTGCTTGATCAAAATGAGTTTTTCCATCACTTGGCAAAAGCAGCAACGCTGATCACAATGTATCCCAAGACACAAATACCAAATACCATAATCAAACTAAAATAGGAAAAAACTATGATCTACTATAACAACTTCTTAAAAGGAATTTATTTTGAGCAACTCAACCATAACTTCAAAGCACTACCTTGAAAGATCCATAACAACTACTTTATGAAATACAAATCTTTTACACTATGTTTGGATTGAAACAGTAAAGGAAAGGAAAAGAAAAGATTTAAAAGGATTTGCCATTTCTATGTGTGGATAGCTAAAATAAGGGAAAGGAGAGGGAGAGATTATAGAAAACCTTGGTTTGTTTTAAGGATAGAAAAGGATTCCTCACTACTAAGAATTACTCACTGAAGCCACTCAAAAACAGTATTCCATTTATAAATAATTCCATTTAATTAAAATAAGGCTTTAGCCTCAACATGCATAATTCTCAATAAAGGAATGAAGGTTTAAGAAAATAAGAATGCAACCATTCATCAGGCTGATTACTTTAGACATTAGTTATGGTAATATCTAACTCGTGATACGGTCAAATTAAAATTAAAGCAGTATATTTACACTCCTATAACCTGCAACATCATCAACTTGGAGACATTAAAACACTTGGAACTTCAAATACACCATATGCTATTAAATTTTATTAAACCAATACTACCCGTGCCATCAATAATCAGAAGACAATGAATGATAATAATAATAATAATAATAATAATAATAATAATAATAATAACAACAACAAGAGGTAAAAAAAAAAGAGCCAAAACTAGTGATGATAAATAGTAGAAAGGATGGAAACAACAATGGCATAGTAATCTATACGCAAAAGTAACCATCATTTAGCAGGGCAAGTGGATAGCAAACTACTATCAAAGACTGCTAAGTAGAAGTGATCTCAGGACCAAACTTAAACAACTAAAAGATATCTCTAAGACTGCCTGGAAAAATACGCTCGTAGAAAAAAAAAAACCCCAAAAAGCGAAAAATGCATACATACACATTATCATATAAAACAATAGAAAATCAAACTCACATGACTGCAAAGATTAAAGGTAAATACAAATACGTAATCAACCAGAGAAATACAAAGTTTACATTTCTCTGATGTATTAATTAAAATTTCAATGAATTTATATACATTTATAGTGGCACTGCATTTGGTATTTATTAATGCCAAAAGTCGGCCTCTTTTGGCTGAAGGCAACCTCTAACTTAGTAAACTCTAACTGTGCAGCCAAAAGCCCTCAGGTCTCATAGCTACGCCAAGATCATGTACAGTTCACTGTAAAGGCAATCATCAATAGCTTTTCACACACCACCTTACCGCCAAAGATATATATATATACATACATTCATACACAAAAACATGTGTACAAGGGGGGGGAGAGAGAGAGAGAGAGAGAGAGAGAGAGAGAGAGAGAGAGAATGGAGGTGGTGTGCAAATGCCAGAGACGAACTAATAACCAGAAGCCTTGTATCAAAAATGAGTTTTCCATCATTGGGCAAAAGACAGTGACAGTAGGAACTCAATGAAACCCAAGACCCAAATGTCTAAAACCCTACATAACATCATAGAAAGAAAGAATTATGATCTACTATATATATATATATATATAGAGAGAAAGAGAGAGCAAAAGGCAGAATGGTTACAAAGGCTCTAATCAAGCTTCAAATGCCAGCCCTAAAAGGCCTATAACAACTTAAAAGGAACTGTAATTCAGAGAAAACATAATAACCTCAGATTTCATCAGTATCGTAATTCAAGTAAAGTGAAGCTCACCATTTTCATAAAAACCAATCTATATCTTGGGAGATAAAAGAAAAAGACAACAACAACAACTTCTCATCATCCACCACATGTCAATGCCTTTGAAATTCATTAAGCATATATCAGATAGATGGTGTCAAAAGCAATGAAAGATTGACTAGATAGGTTCAATAGAACCACAATGAATCAGTAAGAATTTCCAGGTAAAAACATGGAAAGTACTAGTTGAGGTTAAAAAAGAAAGGGTTTCCTAGAATTCTTACAGAACTAAAATTTTAATGCTTTAAAAGCAGCAATTCAAGAAGAGGAAGATACTACAATTAATGAAATAGACATCTGAAAAAGACATGATCAAAAGTTTAATTAAACTGTCCCCAAACAAATACATTAAGCATTTAAAGAAGACAAAGCTGTATCTCAGTTTAGCACAATTCTAAGAGAGGCTTCATTAATTTCATCTAGCAACAAAAGACCATACGTTGGGAATATGCAAATAAGAGATATTCAGTGAGATTGACAAAATTCATAGACTAATGAAGCTAAAAACACATACAAACCATCCCAATGAGAAAATTACTACCAGTCAATAGCAAAGGCGGATCCCAGCTTCAAAATAGGGCCCCAAAAATTTTAAAAATAAAAAAAATTGAAAGAAAAGTTTACTTTGACACTCCAAAATTTTCAGATGGACACCTCTGCATGACAAAATTGGTATATCCGTCGGTAATTTTTTGTATATATTATAAGTGAACACCCCAAAAAATTCTGAATCCACCGCCACTTAACAGCAGCACCACATTTTCATACTGTAGCCACTCAAGAACAAAATCAACAGCCAAAAAATACCATGATAGACAACGGTTAATTACTTAATTATGCATCCAGTGAGGCGAGGGAACGAGACTGATCAAGATGCAAACCATTGGCGAAGAAAAACAGAAATAACATGATAAAGTATGAGATTCAAAAAGATCAACAAAGTCCTCAGATCTCATAGCTATGTTTGGTCATTCGCAGTATTAACAAACTGATTCTCATTACGCATCATCAGCCGTGTCAAAAAGAAGAGGAATTGAAGCAGTGTTGCTGACAATGATGATGATCATGATCATGATCATGGCGACAATGGATGATGATATGAAACGCTCTAATTGAAAATCAGAAAAACTGCTCGATTTCACTAAGTTTTCCATCATTGGGCAAAGACCAAATACACAGCAAAAAAAGAAGAAGGATGCTGAGCATAAAATCAAACAAATAATGTGGGAATCCTCATCAGTGCACAATGTAAGCAATAGCAATAATAGCGACTCCGGTATGCCCAAAGAATCGAACCAAACAGAAAAAATGATATACATTGCTAACCCCAACATTCCCCATTAATAAATTTCAAGTTTTGCAAAGAAAACCAGTGTGAGTCAGATATGCTTTCTAGGCTGCATGTGCTGTGCATCAAGATTATAGCTTTTTCTTTAAAAAAAAAAAAAGAAGAAATGCTCAGTGCCCAGTGCATGCATCATCATTCTTTCCAAAACTACTATCAAGTAAAAATAATGATTTATTATTCAGATACAAAAATGGGTAATTTGTAAAAGTGATAAAAAGAAATGAGACGCCCTCAGATCTCATAGCTTTTGAACAAATCATCCGCGGTTTTTCTGTGCTAATGGCAGTTCTTCCAAAGCCTTTACACACTACCACCCATATAAACGTGTATATGCATGTATATATGTATGAAGTAGGAGGAGGAGGTGGTGGTGGTGGTGACAGTGGTGGAAGTGGTGAAGTTGGTCGCGGTGGCAGCCGTGAGTAAAGGTTCCAGAAAAAATGCATAACCATAGCAACCGCTCAATAGTCTTAGTTTCTACATCATCGGGCAAATTATCATGAGTTTCTGTAAATAGATAAAAAGAAAAAAAAAGAGACATAAATGATAATAAAGAGACATTTAAGATGGAAAGAAGCAGAGTGAAAAACGAAAGGAGGAGATACTAGGGTTTATAAGGATGACAAGGATTGAATTACTGGATTGCCATTGGTTTGAGAGGGAAATATCTGGTTTTACCTTAAATTTGGGGCAAGGCTTAACTTATTGAATTTGAATAGTCCATTAAAGGCTTCTGGAGCTGACTTTATTAGTTGGGCTTTGAGTTGCCCACTTGCTATTCGGCTAGACTGCCAGCCAGGCCCGTGGGAAGGCTTTTGCATCTTTTTTAGATCAGCTGTGCCTGATGATATAACCATATTTTTAGTCATTAACGATTTATTACATTAATAAATAATATATCTTATAATATTTTAATAATAAACAATAACTAAATAGGTGAATCGGACCGAGCTTGTAACCAAACTTTAGTTTAAAAATTTTAACAGCGATATTAAGAGACGATGTTATACAAATTTAAAATTTAGATTTTAATATTTGTAATTTTTTTTTTCAAATTTTGGTGTTATGTATTAAAAGAATAATCATTATTATCTAATTAAATCTATGAACACTAGTATTTTGTCTGTACTTTGTTATGAGATTTATCTAAATTTTTTTATTATTTTTAGTATAAATGTAACTTATAATATGTGAGAATAGTAAAAATTTACATATATGAGATTTTATTCTCAATAGAAATTCAAAGACAAATATGATAAAATTAACTAACTTTTGTATTAAACACTCGTAAAAAATAAAAAATGACTAAGTTTTAAAAGACATACAAAATAATATATTTTAAAAAAATGAAATAATACCTTTTAACTGTCACTCTTAATAGTGCAACCACTGCTCAAACGTATACCTTCTATCATATTCATACTTATAATTTATTCAACAAAAAATTCATACAAATTTTAACTTAAATCACTTGATTAATGCAAAAATCAATCACAAAAATAGAAAAAAAAAAAAAAAACAAAGTTAATACCAAATCATATGATATGTAAATAAAAATGATTAACTCCTACTTTTATTTTAACACAATTTAAATTAAATCTTATACCAAGGCATTTTAAATATTGAACACAGCTCAACTTTTTGTATTTAAAAGTCAGTTTAGGAATATTTAAATTTTAAGATTATGTTGGTACTGTTGGATTATACTAGTATTTATTAAAAATTCAAATAATTTTACACACATAAGAATATGTTGGCATTTAATAGTCTCTCTTGGAATATTAATATATTTTTTTACTTCTATAAAAAACATGGTTTAGGATTATCCTACCTTCAATCTCAACAAACACCAAGCATAAAGATATAATAAATTATCTAAATTAAATTGTATCTAAAAATATCAATAAAGTATGTAGCAATTGAACCCGAAAGCTATTTCAAGATTAAGCTTCCATTAAATTAAGTCTTTAGCACAATAATCAAATGTAGTCTACATGTGTATGTAAAAGTGATACTCTGTTATGACCAATGGTTACATTCTTCAAGCAACTTAGTGTTCAAATTTAAAGCAGTTGCACTCATAGGTTTTAAAGTGAAAAACAATAACTATTAAATCAACCCACTAACTTTAAGGATGGATAAAATGAACTATATAAAATCAAATTTATCAACATATTAAAACAACATACATAAACAATGTCTTCTTAAAAAAAGGCTTATGAAACAAAATAGAAGTTAAGAAATAAGCATAACAACAATTGGTAAACAAAGAAAAACAATGATCTTAAGAGTTACTACATGTACATATATAAAAAAAACAAAACTGGATCTGCCATCAACTTTGCTGTAAAAAAGTAATCTCAACTCTCAATTTTGTAGTCAAACGTGCACTAAGGAAACATTCAAGCTTTAAAGGATAAAAATTATTATCATTTTCACCAATCACAAAAGCAAAAACTCAAAAGATCACCTAAAATAAAGACTATCAAGATTTTTTCCACATAAGACAAAGAGGTTAAAGCAACCTAATAATTTGTCCACCTTTTTTTTTTCTTTCTTTTAGTTATGGAGTTAGTAAAATCATGCTAAGTAGGGAAAATTTCAACAAATCATGCTAAGTATGACAAATACCCATCATCCTCCACATGCATGGCTTCTAGCTTTCTCAACTTGTGTTTAATAATCGGCATATCCTACAAAAACCCCATTGTATACATAATTTCTTACATTTTTTATAAATGAATACAACTTTTGATCATAAAAAAAAAATAAAAACTGAAAGTAATAAAAATAAGCTCAAAGTACTAACTCTTAATAGAATAGGATCATCATGTTTATACTTGTTTTGCTTAAGTAAGATAATTTTCTACATTGCAAGTTATCCTTTTCTTCATACATGTAAGAAAATAGAAGAAAACAATTAAAAAAAAAAAAAAACCTTATCCTAAGTGTATTAACACCGAATCTCTCTATCATTTTAAACTTATTGTCCCTTTAAGTCTTTTTTATACGAAATTCAATAAACCATAAACAACATTTAAGATACAAACCACACATAGAATCATCACACAAAAAGCCAATACTTGGCTTTTTTTATACAACTTTCATTGAAATTTGAATAGCAACAGGCATGAAAGTTTTCTTTTGGAATTGTATATAACTCATAATCATCACCAAAAATAAAATGACCCATCACACATTAACTTAAAATCTTAAAAATTCGCATTCAAGATTTCAAAAATACATATTCAAATAGTTTAAAGATTCTCATTGAAAACTTTTAGGATTTCTCATCCAAAATTCAAAAATTTGCATTTGAAAAGTTCACATTTAAATTTCAGTGTCTCAAGAATTTGTATTAGAAATTTTTGTCTTATGACAAAAAAAAAAAAAAACTTATCTAAATAAGGGCTCAACAATT